TTCAAAGTGTGAGCATTCTTGAATGTGGCTGCATTACAACTTGATTGAAAAGGAAAAACATGACTAGTAGTAGGATAATTAAATCTTGGGGAACTATCTTCAGTGTTTATGAACTGGAAGCATTCAAGGCCATCTTTAAGTGTTCCTTTGAGCAAAGTTGAGCCTGTCTTGAGATCCTTCACAAAGAAAATGTATGTATGAAATTCAAGGTAAACTTGGTTAGCATTTGCAAACTGAGAACCACTAAGGAGGTTTTTGCTAATTTGAGGTATATGCATCAAGTTATTGAGAAGAAAAACATTTGGAAAATTGTGGTTTGAACTTTTCATCATTGAACTGCCTATATGAGAAATATGCATACCTATCCCATTTGCAGTTTGAACTCATTGATGAGGTGGTGAGTGGCCCCTGAGTCAGAATACCAGTAGAGGTCTTGAGAGCCATCTTCATTCTGATTCCAACACTGCAATGTTAACTGAAGGCCCTCCATTTCCTTGTAATGTTAACTGAAGGCCCTCCATTTCCTTGGTTCTGTTGGTTTGTGTTGTGTTGTGACCTCCCAGTGAAGTTCATATCAAACCTGAAGTAGCATTTATTTGTTGTATGGTTGTTATACCCACATATTTGGCATCTCTGTCTGTTTGGGCTATAACCACCTCTACCACTTCTTCCTCCACAATTTCCCATTCAGCCTTGTCCTCTTCCTCTAAAGGACTGAGCTTAGTTGTTGGATCTGCCCCTCATAGAGCTTGAGCCTCTGCCTTTACCAAATGTGTGAGTAGCCAAGTTGGCTGCAAGAAATGACCAATCTCCTTGGCCTTTTTATCGTTTGCATTAATGGTTCTGATACCATATAAAGAAAAGAAACAAAAGCTAAAAAGATATCGAGTTTGAATATTTTTTCATTGATAAAGATGATAATGCATTGTTACATTAATTCTCTAGAATCTGCACATAAAGCCTGAAATGTGTGTGTGTGTGTATATATATATATATATATATTTGTGGTCGTGAATCCCTAGATAAGGGATAAGGTTACACATGCTCTCTTCTCATTGGTTCATGTCTAAGGTTCTCAATACTTCTTTGTTCTTTTGGAGATCGAACTTGCATGAGACTTGAGACGGGTGATCCGAGCAGTCGTCGCCCATAAAAATGGGCGGGGAGTGGTTTTTGGCTATGTTCTAAAGGTCGGCCTAGGCGGCCGCCTACGCGGCGCCTAGGTGCTAGGCGCTGCCCGGCCGCCTCCGATTTGCATAAATCGGCTGAAAAAATCGGCCAGGCGACGCCTAGGCGGGCATGGCGGGCTCGGCGGCTTGGCGTACCTAGGCGGACCTAGGCGCCACCTATTTAAATTTATTTTTTTTAAATACTAATTACATTATTTTATTATCATGTTTTCTTTATAATATACTAATATTATTATTTGAACTTAGGTGCGTTGATTTATTATAAGTTTAGATAGTTTTATTTTGTATGTAGTGAAAATACATATAAAATAAGGTACTTAATCTTGATTTGTAGGCGCCGACTCGGCCTCGCCTAGGCGCTCTAGGTGCTAGGCGCTGATCGAACGCCTAGCGGAGCGTGTCATCCTATTCGTCTGGTTTTGTAGACCGTGTAAGTCATCTCAGAGTCGACAAATTTTAAAATCGTAAGATTCGAGTCCTAGCGTTAGATCTACTTCACGTAGGAGTTTTTTTCTTAGACTTTCGTTTGAATTAAATCACGATCATTGGCGTTTTTTATCGAACCCAACAACCCGAATGTTAAACGACGGCCTGAGTCTTGCCAAGGTCACTAACCATTAGGGGATGGAATTAATTATTGGTCCAACCGATTCAAGCATTGATCTAAAAGGTGAATCATTGAGGCAGTAGTTTGACGAATTCAATGACCAGTCAGTGTTATAACATCCTTGACAATATTCTTAAACGCGAAGGCAATAAGTAAGGTTATATCAGGTCGATATGACAACGACACGAATATAATACAATGCATGATATTATGTAACGTAAAATAATTGTTTTCATTATTGTTTTTTAGGGATAATTGGAGCTTCAAACCAAGGAATAATTTTAATTTTGGTCTGTTTAATTGTCTAAAGTCCATTTTTGGTACACTAACTTACCCCTTATCAAAAATAGCAAGTTATATTGCAATTTGTATCATTTTTGAGACGTTACTCATAAAAAACAGCACATTATGTTCCAATTTGTATCATTTTTAAAACATTTAATCTAAAAAATAATGAATCATTTTTGGGATAATGTCTCAATAGTGATACAAATTGCAACATAATATACTGTTATTGATGAGAGGAAAGTTAGTGTATCAAAAAAGGACTTTAGACAAGTAAACGGACCAAAATTAAATATTTGCCTTCGAACCGATTAACTTCTTTATAAGTATACATTCGGAAAGCAATAGTGGACTATGCTTTGATTTTTAGTCTCGCCTAGAATAAGAAACAAGTTTTTTATTTTCGTTATTTGGACTTTGGCCTTCCCCTTTAGTTTCAATTGG